CTGCTGTGCTAAAAATGTTGCCTGTCACGCTAATAATAGAAATGCAAGGCATATCAACTATATGAACCACTAAACCCCTAAAAAAAGAACAAATGAAAGAAATGAGAGGGAGAAAGAATTAGCTAAAAGAAAAAAAGAAAAATCTCAAAAACGTTCTCTCATTTTGCCAAAGTATGATGTTCCTACATTTGCTACGCTATCCATACATTTGCTAATCAATTTTAAACAAATGTATAGTAAATAAAATAGTATGAATTCCAATCCTGTAGACTAGTCATATGAGCAAAGAATGAAATTAAAGTATAAGCACAAAGCCAGAATTTTTGCCATTTTAGAAGAAGAATTTTGAATTGTAGCGTGAGCTTCTAGTAAAAAAATAGAAAGAACATTACATAAGTCACTACTACATTGTGTTCTCTTAACAATTTCAAATATTAGTATGATGTTACTTTTTTATGGTGCATCATTTTTAGTATGTGAAAAACAACCTGTCTTTTTTGAATTTTTTAAAAGGTGTTAACTAGTCATTCGTTAATACATTTAAGTTATACTCCCTTCATCCCATTAAAAGTATCATACTTTTCATTTTCAGATGTTCCAAAACAATTATCATGTTAGAAAAGTCAAAGTCTCTTTTTCCAATATAGACCTTCTTTCTAATCATATGCATGTTAATATTCAAATTTAAAATTTGAATTTGTCAGGGTAAAATTGGAAAAAGAAGCACAAACATCACAATCAAACCACTATTTTTAAAAGGTTGATTTCCCAAACATGACTAAATAAATGGGACGGCGGGAATATCTAATTTACCATTTAAATATACACATTCACATTTATTATCTCCTATATTTAGATTTTTTTTTCAAATTAACTATACATTTGAAAACAATAAACACTCTTAATGAACACATACTGGGAACTATTGGCTAAATCTATCTTTTTTAGACCATAAATTATCTTTCATTGTCCATTTTAGGACTTTCTTATCAATTAGGACAATTTTGTCATCAAAATTCAAGTCAAGATTTTTTGTCATAAATAAGTGAAATTCAAGGCCTTGTCCTTTTATCAATAAATATGCTTACAGTATATATGTTTTTATATATTAATATTTTAAAAATAAAACCTCATTACGGTAAAAAAAAAAAAAAACTCACAAACAACTTAACAGTCGCAATAATACTTGCAAAAGATATTGATAGTTTAACAATTATACTATTCCAAATCACAAACTTGATCCTGACTCTAGTAGGGATGCTGTATTTTTAAAAAAATGTTATTTTTACCACTAGAATCTTCTACTTTATGTTCATATTCTACAAACTTAGAAATAATTTGACCATCTAGGTTTCAAATATTATTTTTTATCATTTTATACTATTATGATATTTCTTAATCTTTAGTCCAAAGATAAAATCAAGTGTATGACTGTAATGACTCCACCTTCTCCTAGGGCATACCCTAAAAGTTAGCGGATCGCCTGTCTGATTCTCGCCAGAACTCACACACTTATATTAACTTCAGAGATAACATTTTGATAAACCAAAACCAAAAGCTCAAATCTTTTACAATACCAAGTTCAATACAAAAGTTTCAACCATAATATGAAACTAAAGGATTTACAATCACAAAAGTCTTCACGTTAACTTCCTAAGATCCCTCATTCGTTCCCCGACCACCAACTCCTGTAAGGAAAATAAAACTAAAGGGTTGAGCTAAATGTCAGTGAGATTTGCCGAGCAAGTAATATTTAATAAACACTTAAATCAGTACAATTAAACAAGTAGTGCACATTTCACTATACAATCACTTTTATTAAACAATTGAGGAAACACTTCACTAAATGAATTAGAGAACACTTCATTGAACAATCCTCTCCTTATAACCTCTAAAACAATAAACACTTATCAATAAACTTCTCCTTATAACCTCTAAAACAATAAACACTTCCCTCACTTAGATGGCCATATCAATATCAGTGATTTGCTACTTTGTGGTAATATTCGAGTATACTGAAACACTTACCCAAAGCTACCGTCTTACCCGACCAAATCCTTTCCTGGCTCGAATAGTCCGTTGAACAGAAGGTTTTGCGGCCCAGTTCAGCCAGTGTGATAAAGTACACACACGGCTTATAGTCATGCACACTTATAATATCACTTGATTAATTATCAACCTTCAAACTCAACTAAGCCGAATGCGATAAAGTATACTCTCGACTTAGAAGGCGAGGGACAATTGAAAACACTTCACAATGAATCACTTAGCAATATTTCATAATAAGTACGGGGGGGAGGGTTGGGTTGGGTGGTACGGGAGGAGGGAGTGTAAGCAAGAGGTCTCGGGTTCGAGTCCTCCCGCTTACACAAAAAAAAAAAAAAATAATAATAAGTACATTTATCACATAATTTCACTTAAGTAAACATAAACAATAAAACACATAAATTCGGAAACACTCACCAAAGATTCAAATGAACTATTCGTGAACTATTTGCGAGTCTCGAGTTTGTTTCCTGGTTCATAGCTACTTCCTGGGGCAATTTAATAATTTCAAAGTAAATATATAATTTGTAGGTGATCAGTTATCATTCTTACTTTATTATTTAAACTATTAAAATCAAGTTTGACCTTAAAACACAAATATATTCTTTATTTACTACTTATCCTACATTTTATTTCGAACTTATTAACTTTATCGTTTAAACCAAGAAATATACATATTTCCCAAGAATATAATCTATAAATATTTAAATTAGAATCAAACCATTTTCTACTCTATATTCTAAGGTTAACGCGAATGAACTTTTTATCCTTCCCGTTTTAAACAAACTAATTCTAAGCTGCCTATGATTTAAGTTTGCAATAACTCATTAGCTTTTAGTTTTTAAATTTCTTATTTGCTCACGAGTGTAGTTTGTAACCAGGTAGCTAAAATGTAAGATTTCCTAACAATTCATTTTTCCCTTAAATCTTTCTTTTCACTCTCATGTTCCATCTAGCCAAGTTAGTTACATTTAGTAAGCTACAAGGCAGCCTTAAGTAGAACGTGTAAAGTTGACAACTAACTCAAAGGTTGCTCAAGACTCTCACCTTTCTCTCGGCCATAATATACTCCAACAACCTAATTCGCAGCTTTCACTTTCTAATTACTTCAGCTAGCTCTAACCTGTGGTGCCAATATGATTACTAATCACAAAGCAGCCTTAGCTATCACCCTTGAAATGCATCAGCAACTGTGTTAGCCTCCCGATAACAGTGTGAAAGACAAGCCAGATCCTCCACGAAATTTCAAATCTGCCTGACCTCCCTTCGAATCTGCCATGGACACTGAATTTGGCGATGAATAATTCGAACTAAGACCAATGAATCTGATTGCATACATATATTCCCAAACCCCCTTTGTATACATGTTTGAAGACCAATGAGGAGGGCCTAAACCTCTGCACGGAGACTTGTAGTTTCTCCAAGATAGGCCGAAAAAAATAAAGAGTGGTAATCCCGTTGAATCCCGTAGAACTCCACCACCTCCACCCACTCCTGGATTACCCTTAGCACAGCCATCCGTATTAAGTATGAACCACCCTGGCTCCTTTGTCTCCCAACGAACAGCTTTGAATGCAACCTTACCAACATTCAAATTCGACGAGTCATACAATTGCCGAAATGACCATAGTCGAAACCCTTGTTTGAAATGAATCCCCATGATGGACTGAATGTCCATGAAAATTGCATGGCAAATTGCAGATGGCCTTATCTGAACACCCTCAAACATTGATTTATTCCTTGCCTTCCAAATCTGCCAACAAATTAAAGTAGGAAGAATTCGGCCCATAAGCCGTCGTAGCTCAGAATCATATGACCGCAACCACCACCCTAGTATTCGAGACCGCAAAGAAGATCCTGGACTCAATCCACATAAACCTCCAAAATAACTCCAAACTATAGATGTTGTGTGGCCATTGGAGAATAAATGCTCGATAGACTCCTCAGATGCCAAAGGACAGCAAAAACACTTTGAGGGTATATGAAAACCTAGTTTACATAACATATCTGGTACTGGTATCCTCCCTCGCAACAATCTGAACATGAAAAATGAAACTTTCAAAGGAATACGAGGATGCCAAATCAATGTAAACACCATTGACTTGTTTCGAGCCTGTCTAATATCTCCAAAAGCCGATTGTAGGGAGAATTTTCCAGATGTTATGGGCATCCAAATGACTTCCACTTCACTCCCTTCTTCCAGGATGGGTTGCTCTAAAGCGGAGGATACATTCTCCCTTGGTATTGTGTGATATAAGAAATTAACATCCCAGTGTCCAATGATGATGAAATTACGGAATGACAAATCTGGGTTAACCGGCGTTTGTAAGAACAAAGCACCATATCCTATCCAGTTATCATACCAAAAGTGACACGCCCCTTCTTTGGCAACTCATAACATTAAAAGCTCCACTTGTCGGCTCACATTTACCATCCTCCGGCATATTGCCGAGTCCGTGGTTCTGAGTTCTACCTGACAAGGATGAAACTGTCTGCAGTACTTTGCTTTCATGAATGATACCCACAACAACGATCCTGTTCGAAAATTCCACCAAAGCTTGGAAGAAAAGGTTGTGTATACATCTCGTAGTCTTCGGAAACCAACTCTCCCCTCATCAACCGAATAGCACTGTTGAGACCACCTTATCCAGTGAAATTTTGATTCGTTGGGTGATGACCCTCACAGGAATGTCAAGCAGGCTTTTTCTATAGTTTTAAACACCAAACCCGGGATCACAGCAGCTGACATCAAATGCACTGGCATTGATGCCAACACATGCTTGATTAGAACTATCTTGCCTCCAAAGGAAAGCAACCTTGATTTCCATGATAGAATCCTCCCTAAAATAGACTGACAAACTCCTCCAAAGTATGATGATTTACATCTTCCAAAGTAGAGCGGGAACCCTAAATAACGTATCGAAAAAGACTTCCTGGCAAACTTAGTGATACGATCAATCACCCTTCTTCTCGCCGAAGACACCGTTGGATGGACTAAGTAACAACTTTTTTGCACATTTATTAGCTGCTCCGAACACCTTTGATAGGCCTCTAACACCTGCATGATTGCCTTCAAAGAAAAGGAGGATCAATTTGCAAATATGAGAACATCATCCGCAAACTCCAAGTGAGTTATAGTTGGACATCCATATGAAACTTTGAAACCTATGAAGCCCAACTGCACTACAAGGTTATTCAATCCTCTAGACAACACTTCAGCTCCGATAATGAAAAGCGCAGGTGATAATGGATCACCCTGACAAAGTCCTCTCGAGAATTTAAAGAAACCATGCGAAGACCCATTTATAATGATCGAAAACCAGACATTAGAAAGCAAACGCCATACCATATCAATAAATATTTCCCCAAAGCCAAATCTTCTCAGAACATTAATGATGTGACCCCAAGCCACCCGGTCATATGCCTTAGACATGTCTAACTTCATAACCACATTACCACCTCTAATCTTTTTCCCCATACCCGATACCACCTCCTGAGCAAGTAGAAAATTTTCCGTTATATTATGACCCTTCACAAAGCCTGTTTGCTGGGGGGAAATTATTTTTGGCAATATACCAGCCAGTCTATCCCCCAAGATCCGAGATAACAACTTGTTGAAAAAGTTACATAGACTGATTGGTCTAAAATGAGAAAATTCTTGAGGATTTGGCATCTTTGGAATTAGTACAATCTAGGTAGAAGTGATAAACCGAGGTAACTCCACCCCACAGAAAAAACTAAGTATTACATTGTATACATCTTGGGCGATCACTTCCCACGCAAATGTAAAAATTTTTCCTGTGAAACCATCCAGGCCAGCAGCACTATCCCCATCCATTGATTTTATTACTCGATATACCTCCTCGATCGTAGGCACTGACTCCAGCTTCGTATTTTCCTCTTGAGAAACCATATGCGGGATTAGGTGCGACATATTGGAATATGAATCCAAAGGGCCTGTGAAAAGATCATGAAAATATGTTGTTGCTTCAAGTGCTATATCATCATCCGTGTCCACCCAAACTCCATTAGAATTTTTGATGTGGTGTATCATTCCTTGAACACGTCTCTGTCTTACTACCGCGTGAAAATATCTTGAATTTCTGTCTCCCTCTTGAAGCCATTTGACTCTAGCCTTTTGCCTCCAAAACTGCTCTTCAATTAACAATGCATGGCAGAGCTTCGCTTGAGCCTTGTTTAGCTCAATCTGGCATTCCTCGGAGTCATCTTGATCAACCATCTCCTCTGCCCATTGTACCGCCATTTTTGCAGAATGCACAGAGTCTATAACATTCCCAAAGTGTTGCTTGTTCCATGATTGAATAGCCCTTCTCGTTGCCAATAATTTAGAGCATAAAACTTGCAACGGAGGTCCATCAACATCTTGATTCCAAGCCTGGCGAATCACCTCTATGAGTTCAGGTTTGGACGTCCAAACATTCAAGAAGCAGAAAGGACGTGGCTTATTATCCAACCTAGTTACAAACGAAATCTTCAACGGAGCATGATCCGAGGGGTGTCTTGTCAAGTGGAGCACAGAAATGGCATCGGAGAGATCTAAACAAGCCCCATTGACTAAAAATCTATCCAATCTTTTTGAAATTCGAGCTCTTCTCTGCCATTATTAGACCATGTGAAGCTAGATCCTAAGAATCCTACATCAAAAACCCCAGCCTTCTCCATGAAAAACATAAAATCCGCTCCTTTCGCTATAGCAAATGGACGACCCCCCCCCCGTTTTTCGTGAGGTGTCAAAATAACATTGAAGTCCCCCCCAATACATCAAGGATGTAATCTAGGCTTATCATCTAACAAGGAACACCATAATTCTCGATGCTCCTCCACTGAGCACTTTGCATGAATAAAGGACATGATGATTGGACTAGGAAGCAACGGGTTTTGAATATCTAGAGATATATGCTAATCCGAACTACCAACAATGGAACAAACAAAAGGACTACTATAGAATACCCAAATATCACTCGAACAATTAACAAACACAAAATCAAATAATAATTGTAAATGAATGGACTCAATTTTTGACACATCTAGCTTTGGTTCACAAATCACAACAAAATAAACTTGATGAATCCGAACTAGTTTAATCAATCTTCTTAGATTAGGTGCCTTTGCTACTCCTCTAATATTCCAAAATATTCCATTAATCATGAGAAAGAACATGGAATGAGTTTTTGGATGATGTCTCTGACCTTAACTGTCTGTTGGATGGAAATCGAGCACGAACACCCTTTCCTTGCATTTGTCTGAATTCACGGTCAGCCATTTGTGATTGATCAATATTTAACGAGGGCCTTGATGATTCCAGCAGCTTCTGTGGTAGGACAACCAATCTTGGAGACAAATTTCCTGCAACACCATGGTGTATGGAAGCAACGTCATCCTCAACCCCACGCAAGTCAACATATATATTCTCCAAGGCATTACTTTCAGCCATGTGATGATGTTTAAGTATCGAATGGTTTTCTGCTCGAAGATGGGTCCCTTTATTCTCATTATTTCTCCAGCTAGTTGCCCATTATCTCATGTTCCCCATGATCCACATCCAATGTTCCCTCCATTTCCGAATGTGCTTGGACATCAGCTATCATGTTGTCGGTTTCTTCTCGCATAGCAGCAACGTCTCCTTCAGCCAAAAAGGAACTGGGCTTGTCGTCTTTATGAACTAATTTATCACCTTCCTCGGCTATCATAGCAGAACCAGCAGCCTCCTCCATTGCATCTGTTTGCTACCCTCCTTCATCAACCATATCAGTAATTTGCACCTCCTCAGAAACATTCACAGTAGCTTTTTCGTCATTTTCATTGGTATCTAAATTACGAACAGGTTCATGGTTGGACATGTGATCGTTATTCCCATCTAAATATGGTCCTTGCTGCTGCTTCAAGGGTTGCTTATGGTGTTGCCTAAACCCACCGTCCATCAAATTCTTTTTGCACTCCTCTTGAGAATGACCCAATCGCAAGCAAGATGAACAATAAGTTGGCATGTTCTCTGGTACAATACGTTGCCAGAAACCAGATTCCCCTTCAACAGCAACTCAGACCCTAGACACAACAAGTTTCACTATATCGATCTTCACACACACTCTGGCCACACTAGGACGCGTTCCAGCAGCCGTTGCCGAATCCAGGAACATGGGTCTTCCTACTGGTGACAAAATGGAAAACAAAGAGTGTTTATCGAAATAATGAATAGGCAAAGCCGGAAGAGTTACCCAAACCGGTACCAAAGATGACTCCCTATGCACATGAAAATCCCTTGTCCATCGAAAAACACGCATCGAATATTTGCCCAATTGCCAAACTCCTCTCGTCCAAATTATGTTAAAATCTACTTCAGCAGTGCACTTAATAAGAACATGCCTATAGTCCATCAATCCAATGAAAACTTGGTCTTTCAGGTTTAATGAGGCAAAAAATTTTCGAATATTTTCCAATGGAGGTCGCCCATGAGAGAATTTTCCAACCAAAGCCCATCGAAACGGTGTCGTAAGTCTGTTCGCATCTGCTCTCAAAAAAACGACCGCAGCTTCTCCCTTGTAAATAGATGCCTGCCTAATCTGGATTGGAGATGTCGCCGGTTGTGTGAAGAGTTGAGAAAAAGATTTTTTTTCTGTAGGAGACATCCCTTGCCCCTCAGCCGACGGCTGAAGGGCAGCCATGAACCCTTACGTTCACTAGTACAAACTAATTTTATTTATTGGTGCTTCGGATGAAGAATGCTGAAAATGCAGAAAGAATCAGTTGTAGAGAGAGAAAATTCGATTGTCAAAACACACCTATTTTCTTAAAAGTGCAGATGAATTTGCTTAAAAGTGTCGGATGTGCAATACACATTTGATATGGAAAGAACAAAACTTGAGATTGATAAGTTTATAAATGAGAAGTTAAAACAATGTTTCGATTGTCATTCAATCTACTACATCAATTCAAGGGTTAAATATAGTTGGAATTGATATTACAGTTGGATGGTTGATATTTTGAATAGAAATATTATCTTGAATGGTAGTGTTAGATTCAACCTGACATATGATGAATGTTATTAGGTGATGAGCTGTGCTCGTTACGTTAACTAGGAGAAGTAAAAATACATGTTGAATATATTTTTTCAAGATATAACATTTTTGATATACTAAATTTCTTGCAAGATTTTTATTTTTAACATTATATTGTTTAAATTATGACGAACAAAATATAGTAATTGCTAGTCATACAAAACATTTTGCTGCATATTTAAAACTAAACATTTATAGTATATTTTACTATACAAAGACTTTGAAGATAGAAGATTACCTAAGTTACCATATATTTTACCATTTTACCATAATTACCATAGCAATAAGGGAAAATTTTCTATGATTTATTGAGCTAGTTCGCGAGATCAAACTTAGCAAAATATTTACTAAAACATGCTCATTTGTAACATTGTAGAAGAGATCCTAGGTAATCCCTTCTTATAGCTTTAAATCAAATCAATAGGAAGTCATGACCTCTAAAATCGATGCAAGAGTTTAAGAATTTCTTAGACCCGAATTCTATGTATATTTCCATAAAAAACTTAGACGGAGTTACAATAATATCTTAACATTCTTCAAGACCATATATGCAAGTTGAAGTTCTGAATACAAGTCTTCATTTGCTTTACTAATAGAATCAATTTCCTATTCCTTAGCAAAATATTTACTAAAACATGCTCATTTGTAACATTGTAGAAGAGATCCTAGGTAATCCCTTCTTATAGCTTTAAATCAAATCAATAGGAAGTCATGACCTCTAAAATCAATGCAAGAGTTTAAGAATTTCTTAGACCCGAACTCTATGTATATTTCATAAAAAACTTAGACGGAGTTACAATAATATCTTAACATTCTTCAAGACCATATATGCAAGTTGAAGTTCTGAATACAAGTCTTCATTTGCTTTACCAATAGAATCAATTTCCTATTCCAATTCAACAATATTTGCCCTCTTTATAATTGAGTCTTCTTTTTCATGCAATATGAAAATTTTCTTTTGTCACTCAACTCTTCACTAAATCTTAATTTAAGCCATTGTATGGGGCATGAATGGCTCAATTAATGATTAACATCACTACTTTATTGCCCCATATTCACATCGAGGAATTGTAGAAATAGTGAAAAAATTGATGATTTTAGATTGGAGCATTATATTAAATTTATTATTACCATAACTCTAAGTGGGGATTATTTTCTAGTTTTTGCTAATATATAACTATATATGACTTTTGCCCTTCCCAAGTTTTTTGCATAGATAAGCAAGCATTCAAGTCTCCTAGGAATAAAGTTTTATCAACAAAAAAATTAAAAAATTACCCATTCTTTCCGCCAACATAGTCTTTAAAAGACAAAAAATTAAGCAATTACCCATTCTTTCTGCCAACATAGTCCTTAAAAAATAAATTTCTAATTCCAAAATTTACACAATTCTAAGAAGAGCCTTTCAAAGCAATTTGAAAGGTTAATTACAGTTAAAAATACCTTTTGTTTTAATATTTTTGAATTATTCATGCTATTTTTCTTTTTTCATTTTCTTAATTGATATATTATAATAAAGTAAATCTAATTGTCATTAACATTTTAAGCCAACATGTATGGTATAATGACTTTCGATAAGCGCATATTTTGAGTACTTTAAGTGTATTTTATTATTTAATTTTGGTGATTTTAACAATTTTTATAGCTAATTAACTAAGATTCTAGTAAAACTATGCATTTTGTGGTTTAAATAGTAAAAATTGCATTTCTATGGATTTTTATGGTGAAAACTTCATGTTTTTAATAGGTTTAATGATTCAATCATAAAATAGCATAAATTCAGAAGAGAATTCGATGATTGATGATGGTTTGAAGTGATAGAAAGAGAATATGAAGTGCAAGAGATGAAATGCAATCAAGTTCTAAAGAAAAGGAGTTTCATAGCTTTGACACATTGTGGTATTTCGGCTATATCTTGAGCTACAATGATCGGATTGAGATGATTCTTATACCATTTTGAAGCCAAGAAATAGATCTACATTTGGTATGGAGACACTGAAGTCCAGCGCAGTCGTTTTCATAGTCAAAAAGTCAAAATACTGAAGTGCAATTTCATGGTCGAAAACTGAAACAAGGTTCTGACCAGTTAAGGGTATTTTGATCATTTCTTGGTCCACAGATCTCCAAATTGAGTGATTCTTGATGTATCGGAAAGCTAACTCAAAAGGCTACAACTTTTACCAAAAGCTAGTTCAGCCTCTAACATTGAGAAAATATCAGTTGAAATTAGACAAAAAATAGAGCAAGTAATCCAAGCCCTGATTCATTTTGATCCGAGCCCTCGTCTAATCTTCTGGAGAAATGGATCCGAGACCAGAGGATCCGAGCTTGGATCCACTATAGCAGGTCTCAAATCCCAATGAATAGTGAAGGTTAAAATGAAGAAAAATACGATCCGAGGGCTATTTTGTGCAATCCGACCTCGGATCTAGCCCTCGGATCACTACTTTCGGCTTACCAACTTTTGTTCTGTTCACACAAGCTTTTGACCCATCTTTCCTGCAAGAATATCGGTGAAAACAGTCCAAAACAGCTGCAAAAGAAGCTTTACAACTCATTTTTAACTTGTTTATGGGTTCAAGACATGATTTTACACTTGTCTATTACAAGAAATTCCTCTATAAAGAGAAACCTTGAAGAACATTTTCATAACTTTGAGAGGCTAGAGAAACTCCACAAAAATGTAGTTCTCACTAGTTTTTCTTAGTTCAATTAGTTTAGTAGTTGAGTATAGAGTAGTGTAGTTCATCCTACTTGTTTATTAGCTAGGTAAAGATGAAGATGGAGATGAAGAAGACAAGGAAGAGCTCATGTGACAAGGGTTACTTTTCCTTTCCAACTCTTTATCTTTTGTACTTGATTCCAAGTTTAGTTAATATACAAGTTCTGGATTTTATGTTTATTATGTGTTTTTAAAGTTTATGCCTTGGGTTTGGTTGAACTTCCTATGATTGTTGGTGTTTATTATTTGGCTATTTGATTGCTATTATTTGAACAAGTTATTTAGCACTTTAACTCTTTAAATCATGATTAATTTGGTATCATTAATTGTGATTATCTAAGGTGTTATTTTTTCAATGAAAATTGAGATTTAATATTGGTTCAAGAAGTGCTAAACATAAGGAATACACTCACAAAAGTAGAAGTGCACCTATGTGATTTTAGTGATTCATTTCATGTAATTTCATTGAAGAAATGAACTTGTAGCCAATTTCACAACCATGAGAATAGGTATGGATTAGTTATGAGTATAATTGATTCACTACGAAAGTAGGATTCATATACATAAGGAAATTACACCATAACTAGCCTAGATAATAGTACTCAATGATCCAAATATAGCACTTGCATGAGTAGTTAAGGATACCATAACCTAAGA